TACATACACATACATACAGCGGGTAAAATAAGTATTGAACACATCACCATTTTTCTCAGTAAATATATTTCTAAAGGTGCTGTTGACTTGAAATTTTCACCAGATGTCGGTAACAACCCAAGTAATCCACACTATTATATTTCATATTTCCATCATGAACTGATACAAATTAAAGGGTTAGTTCACCAAAAAATTTAAATTCTGTCATTAATTGCTCACCCTCATGTCGTTCCAAACCTGTTATTCTTCGGAAAACAAATTAAGATTTCATAGACATAGACTACCACGTTCAAGGCCCAGAAAGGTAGTAAAGACATCATTAAAATAGTCCATGTGATATCAGTGGTTCAACCTAAATTTTATGAAGCGACAAGAATACTTTTTTGTGTGTAAAGAAAACAAAAATAATGACTTTATTCAACAATTTCTTCTCGTCCGTGTCGGGCTTCAATGTGCGTTCACAAAATCTTCAGGCATGTTTACGAACACTGTTTTATGTACAGCGTGCATCTTCCTCTGCTTGTAAACAAGGTGCAGTGCATCAAGGTTCTACATCAGAACGCAGCACCACACGAATGTGTCGTGGTACTCTTGTGAACGCACGTCGAAGACTGACATGGAAGAGAAGAAAATGTTGAATGAAGTCATTATTTTTGTTTTCTTTTCGCACAAAAAGTATTCTCGTAGCTTCATAAAATCAACGTTGAACCACTGATGCCACTTGGAATATTTTACTCCTTGTCCTTACTTCCTTTCTGTGCATTGAATGTGGTAGTTGCATTGCTGTCTATGGAGGGTCAGAAAGCTCTTGGATTTCATTAAAAATATCTTAATTTGTGTTCTGAAGATGAACAAAGGTCTTACAGGTTTGGAACGACATGAGGGTGAGTTTTTTCATTTTTGCGTGGACTAACCCTTTTACCCCAATAAACCAAATTATATCTATTCACGAATAAATGTACATGTTTTAGCCGACAATTAATTAAGTAACTTGCAAGAATATCTTGTTAGTGAAATCTTAAGATCAAACATGAACTCCAAGTCTTCAACTACAACAACTGCAAAAACTGTGCCAGTGCTGTCTAGTGCTTTATCGGGTCACTGAAAATGAGTCACCACAGATGAGTCGTGTCACTGAGTTTAGTGAACCATTTTTTTTGGAAATTAACCAGACTAGCATATGTTGACTAAACCTGGATTTCAAGAATACTTCACTGAAAGTGACATTAAAGTGATGGATTGGAATTTCAATAGGGCTCAAACAACAGGCTTTTAAATATGATCTACTGTCATATTACAGGCTAATTGTTCAGAAATCCACTTATGTGCATTTAGAGTCAGCTTATATAACCCATTTAATATGACATTTAACAGCATTGTAATAATGAATATGCCATGCTCTGATTCTTGTCAGCATGAATCGTGATAATAATGAGCTTCATGTTGAACCTAAGGCAAAGGCAATCCTACTGCTTTCTCATATTATCAGTGTCTGTGGCTCTAGCAGCAGCTTCAGCCTAATCGTTGTCAGACATTTTCGGAGCATGTTCGATACATCTTGCACTTCTCCGAGACATTATCTATGGCAAGTGACATACGCCCTCTTGCTGTCTGTCCTTCATTAAGGGGCCAATAGGGAGTGAATGTGTGTATGTGGTGTGTGAGAATTACAAGCTTCTGACACCACAGACATTGAATATGACAGGGGGGCTGGCAGGGAGAGAGAGAGTCAGAAAGAGGGAATGGGAAATAAAGAAGAGGGGTGGGACAGAGATAGAGATAGAGCGTTTGACAGCGGGCTCAAGGGATAGAATAATGAAGTCTTTAAATGAGCTTAAACTGCAGTGCCAATAAGTATGTCACAACCTATCTTGCTGACGGCCACCACAACAACAGGAAGAGGAGCAGAGAGTGAAAAATCGAGAATGAGAGAGATTACAGGTAAAAGGAAAGCTTTTATCTTGGCTTTGGTTTGGTGCCTGGATGTATAGCTTTTTCTCAAGAACAAGAAACAGCAGAAAAGGTGTCTCAGTGGATACACAGAGGAAATGCAAAAAGAAAGAGGTAGATCCTGTAGAGGTAAGCAAGAGAGAAAAAGACTGACATTAACTGGGTGAGGATGGGAGGAAAGAGTGTGACAAGAAAAAGGCAGGGTTGAGTTTAGAGAATAAAAGCAGTCTGTTTATGAAGATTAAGTTAGTGGAGACAAACGATGAAAGTCTTTTCTGTCTCCTTCCCTCCATTCAGGCTCCATCCTCCTCTCTCTCTCTCTCTCTCTCTCTCTCTCTATTATTAGAGTGTTCTAATAATTGCCTGTTTCTGTGTCACCAGTTTCACAAAACATTTCCCTGTCAGTTTTTACTGCAGAATGGATGTGTATGTGTGTGTGTGTGTGTGTGTTGACGGATGACAAGGCAAAATCTGAATTTGTGCAGTTCCATCTCACAAATTAAAGGCACTAGAAGAAAAGGTCAAACTCACTCTTCTGAAATGTTACGAGTGCTGACAATCCAGAAGAAAATTTTATTGCTCAATGGCTGTTTTACTATATAGCTCAGGAGACCTAATGGAGTTCTCAATCATTTTTCAATTTCATGTATCAACTGACGAGAAAAAAAAAGACAAAAATTAGACATAAAAATTGCCATCACTTACTCTCATACTCTCTTACATCACACTCTCATGTTGCTACAAACCCCTACTTTCCTTCATCCATGGTAAACAAAAGCTTAAGATATTAAGCTAAATATCCTGACCATTTTCCCCACATTTATAAAGCTAATGCCAAAAAAGCTGTTTATCAGTGAAAACCTTGACATCCATCCCTACTGTATCTCTCCTTGAATTCAAGAGAGATGAAGCCATGTCTGATTCACATGTACAAGTATAGGCTATTTTGGGCTTCGAGTGTGACCTTATATACACACAAAAATATGTCAAAATGTTAGCATTGGTGAGTTTTCATTTAAAAGCGCTTTGTCATGTTGTAAGTGAACCTAAACAGTTGGGAAAGTTATTGATTGCTTGCCAGTATATTAGATTGGTGCATTCACATTTAAAGTGACAGCAGCCTAAAAAAACCTGTTGCTCTCTCTCATTTAAAGTTAATCAAACAACAAAATAATTCAAGAGAATCATTCACTGCTTTTCAATGAATAACTTTAGTAACTGTAATAAGATACAATGTACAGTTAATTGATACAGCGAAGACTATGCAGTTTTATTTTTACATTTGATTACTTTATTCAGTTTCTGTATAGTAGGCTATTATTTTTAGTAGGCTAAATTGTTTATTTAATTTGTATCTTTTTTTCCATTGTATTTGTCCTACTGTTTATAATTTTCTTATTTTTTTATTGTATTACTGACTGTTTTTAACTCACTATAGGTGACAGTGAAACTGCTCTAAAAGAACAGATTATAGGTCTGGTTTTGCTTAAAGTTTTGCTTAGGGCCCCCACAAGTCTAGGACCGGCAGTGGTCAAGTCAAGTCAAGTCACCTTTATTTATATAGCGCTTTTAACAATACAGATTGTGTCAAAGCAACTGAACAGCATTAATTAGGAAAATAGTGTCAATAATGCAAAATGACAATAGTAAACACAAATTTTTCAGTTAAAGACGGTTCATCATTGAATTCAGTGATGTCAACATCCAGCTCAGTTTAAATAGTATCTTTGCAATCAAGTCAACGGTATCGCTGGAAATGAAGTGGTCTGATTTGTAAACAAATTGCACTTTTTTAGTGTATCAGTTATTCATTTTCATAAATTTAGATAAATTTGGAGTGACTCACTAAGTCAAAGATTTGGTCACAACGGGTAACAGAATAAAACAAAAAAGTGAATAAAACAAATGTTTGAATAATGATGTACACAACTGTTCAAAAGTTTGAGGTCGGTATGATTATTTTAATGTTTTTGAAAAAAAGTCTCTCATGCTCTTTTTTCAGGATTCTTTGATGAACAGAAAGTTCAAAATAATTAAATAATAATTCAACAATTATTAAAAAATAATAATTTGAAATATAAACCTTTTCTAACATTGTCTTTAACTTTTGATCAATTTAATGAGTCCTTGATGAATACAAGTATTAATTTCTTAAAAAAAAAAAAACCTGACCCCCAAACTTTTGAGTGGTAGTGAACATTTTAGTCTGTTCCTCACACAAAGCTATATTTTTGAAGACAACAAATGAACCTATTTTATGATAGTTTTATATTCTGTTTGTCATTTTGGAGGTTGTCAGCCCCACCCATTCTTTTTAATAATATGGAACAGAGTGGCCAAGTTATTATTCAAAAATTCACCTTCTGCGTTCTAAAAAGGAAAGAAAGTCAAACAGGTCTGTAACAACATAAAGGTGAATAAATGATGACAGAAAAATTATATTTTGGTTGAACTATCCTTTTAATATGGATAGCATAGCTCAGATAATTTGGTCCTGTGGGAATTCAATGAGAAATATTTCAGTTCATACTGAAATCTCTGATTTCTTGGCTGAGCTCAGTTTGTGTATCAGTATCAGGCTTTACAACATTTATATTCAAAAAAGGAAAAAATTAGAAAAAAGAAGAAAATGAAACAATACAGACACCCATAAACACACTAAGACTGCTGGAGGTCACATCCACTTTGTACGGAACGCGAGCCAATACTGATCTGCCCTGTCAATATGTGGATCTAGCTTGCAACGCAGTTAGCACTGATTTGTCACCCAGAGACAGACACCTGTCACTTTCCTGCCAAGTACACTTGTCTTTCTTTATCCCTTTTCCAATGGACATCTAATTAGTTGCTATGGTGTTTTTTCCCCCTTGTTTTACATTTGTGGATCCAGTTTCAAAATAGTACAAATTCAACTGACGTGTCAAATGAATGCACCAATGCTATCATTATTGCTCTGTCATTCACACTTAGTGCACCAACTCCTCTGGATAAAAAAGGAATCACCTACACACATACTATATCTAGTGCACCTACTGTATGTGTTTTCCATGGTAATGCCTGTTTTAGCTTTATGTCCTGGTAGAGAGATGTTTACCTACTAGTGTATGGTCAGTAACTTATAAAATATGTCAGCTCCAATATACTGCCTAGGATACAGCTACTGAGACATTGTTTCATGTTTATTTTAATAGTATATCTCTTCATGTGCCTGAAAAACAACTCAACAAGGGCATGCAGAGCTACACAGAGTCTGGAAATACAAAGCTAGAAGAGGGCAGACAGAATGACCTTGAGCTGTAACTCATAATTTACAGCACAGCCGGGCTTAATAGATTCCAACCCCAATGACAGAGCAGTTCAGGCAGACAGAGTGTTTGTGTGTGTGTGTGTGTGTGTGTGTGTATGTGTGTTCGACAGAGAGAGAAAGAGTGGGAGAGAGTTTTTTTTTAACCTTATTGATTTAATAAACAAATTACGCCTGTGCATTTATATCGGTAAACAAATGTTAGATTCTCCAGTCTTAAAATAAGAACAAATCGGAGGCTAGAGTGACTTATTTTCAACTTCAAATACTTCTATCATACTTTACAGTATATCCCAGTTTAATGTGCAGAGATAGAGTATGCCAAAAAAAGTAAGTAAGCATATAATATTATATATTTATTATATATAAAATAACACTAATTTTTAAACAGGTTTCCCAAACATACCCCCATATATATATATATATATATATATGTGTGTGTGTGTGTGTGT